CGATGAACTGGCGTTTGAGGGATTTGCGCGCTGTCATATGCAGCATTGGGAGGAAGAGTTCTGCGAGCGTCCAGCAGGGCAGCCGAGGTCGATGAGATCCATCGTTTGTGTTTTGAGCCTGCGTAACGGTTTGACTTTGTTTTTATTGATATTTGCATAGTTTCCTTGATTTGGTTCCAGTGTTCTTTGATTCCGTCGGCTGGCGATTGGACTGACAGGCGTTCGGAGAGTTCCGCTTCGAAGGCCGATTTGCATATTGGGTGTAGTAGGTATCCATTTTCGATGGCGTTTTTTACTGTTGTTTCCCAGGCGTAAGGAGAATTTGGCTCGTAGCAAGCGTGGTCCTTATCAACAGGTGTTGACCATTAAGAGCGGCAGTCTTGAATCGATCCCCTGCATCGATAACTGAGAGCTATGTGGTCGATTTGGGTCCAGCGCAGTGAAGAGGTTGGCGGTTTCCATGTAAGACGGTGACGTTTCTCGTGCGAGAAGTTTGGGCTTGACAGAAACAGTCCGTGGTCGGCACAGAGTTGAAGTAGCGATCGCCGTTGTTCGTCCGGTTGGCTGGGATTGCATGTGGTCCACCGAGAAGCCTTTCTGATTCGTCTAAGGAACCCACTTGGGCATTGAATTCTCCGGCGATTACCACGATGTCCGTTGATCGAACGCTTTGGAATAATCGAGAAAGGTCCTTGTAGAATTCATACTTGATTTCAGGTGTACTGCAATCCGTCGGTGCATACATCGATACGACGAATAGATATGGACGCTTCGTTCTGCAGCTGCTGACCTGTGCTGAACCGTTGAGGCGTACGGCGCACAGTCGGCTACTGACTGGAATCTAGTCGAGAAGCGAGCGTTCAGCCTTGGCACTTAGCGTAATCCCGACACCAGCAACACCGCGAGCTTCAGATGCCGAATCGCCTGACACACGAAGGTGAGAGCGTGACGTTGAGGTTGGATCAGAAGAACGCAGAGAGTTAACGGAAGTAGGGTCTTGAATGCGTGTTTAGGAGAAACAACAACATCTAAATAGAAAGTTTCAAGGGTTCTA